GTTGTTCCAGATAAAGAGCTAAAGCTTAGTAAACAACTAAAACTTACTTATATGGGTTTGTTTACTGTCCTGTTGTTCTAGATAAAGAGCTAAGGCTTAGTAAACAACTAAAACTTACTTATATGGGTTTGTTTACTGTCCTGTTGTTCTAGATAAAGAGCTAAGGCTTAGTAAAGAACTAAAACTTACTTATATGAGTTTGTTTACTGTCCTGTTGTTCTAGATAAAGAGCTAAAGCTTAGTAAACAACTAAAATATAGTTCTGTGTGTTTCTATATAGTCCTATTATTATTCGTGAAATGTTCAGTGTTTGAAATTTGGTACTTACACACTGTTCCTTGTCTGTGGTAGGCTTAATGGGCTTAAAACTTGTACAGTTGTTACTTGCTTTAACTGAACTCTCTGCCGTTTTGGGGCTAATAACATTTTCAGGCGTTGTTATTCGTTGTAGTTGTTGATTGCTCCTGGTTGGATCAAATAGACAGCGAGAGGACTGGCTCGAGCTCATCTTTGAAAAGGATAAATATAAAGAAATTAAATCAAGTAAAGTTTGCTATGTTATTTATGAAAGTCTTGTGTATGTTGTATAATGTGTAAAAGTCTTGTGTATGTTGTATAATGTGTAAAAGTCTTGTGTATGTTGTATAATGTGTAAAAGTCTTGTGTATGTTATATAATGTGTAAAAGTCTTGTGTATGCTGTATAAAAGTCTTGTGTATGGTATATAATGTGTAAAAGTCTTGTGTATGTTATATAATGTGTAAAAGTCTTGTGTATGTTATATAATGTGTAAAAGTCTTGTGTATGTTATATAATGTGTAAAAGTCTTGTGTATGTTATATAATGTGTAAAAGTCTTGTGTATGTTGTATAATGTGTAAAAGTCTTGTGTATGCTGTATAACGTGTAAAAGTCTTGTGTATGCTGTATAACGTGTAAAAGTCTTGTGTATGTTGTATAACGTGTAAAAGTCTTGTGTATGTTGTATAACGTGTAAAAGTCTTGTGTATGTTGTATAACGTGTAAAAGTCTTGTGTATGTTGTATAACGTGTAAAAGTCTTGTGTATGTTGTATAATGTGTAAAAGTCTTGTGTATGTTGTGTGTGTTGTATAATGTGTAAAAGTCTTGTGTATGTTATATAATGTGTAAAAGTCTTGTGTATGTTATATAACGTGTAAAATCTTGTGTATGTGTGTGTATCTGATCAGAGTATGTTATGTATCTAGAGCGAAACTAAAAATGGCCATCTGTATAACGAATTAGGTATAATTGTCTTACGTTTGTAACATAAAAATTAGAATGCATTATTTCATAAGTTGGGTACCATCGCTGTTAAGAATATTTTCGGTCACAATCCCAGTAATATCTCACGAGTTTCGGCCAGGTTAGGAGATTTAGGTTAGTCCTAAATACATATATTAAGCTAACAGGGCAAACCAATGTTTATGATAAAAGTTTAATACTAAACAAAAAATAAAAATGTAAGCATAACAAATACTGTTAATGAAAATACCAATAAATAACTAATATAGAATATTTCTAACATTTCGAATCTGATACACAAGAAATAAATTAGTCACGTTCTTAGTGTGATTTTCAAGACTTTAAAAACAGTTTATTTAAGAAAGATAATTTAAATATGATTATAAATATTTAGTTATTTATAAGAACGGTCCCCAGGAAAAATTCAAGATGATTAGCTTCAGCATTTTAACGAAACGAATTTGCTAATTAACAAAAACAGAACGTTCTCATCAATACCTATCATCAGATGGAATTAACCAAATACCATTTAAAACAGGTCAGAACTTGCTGAAATTTAGTATAGTTTAAATGAAATCGGCTGGATTCCTAAAGATCGAATTTAAATGGGACTCAGCTGGATCTCTGAAGATCAAGTTTGAATGAAACTTAGTTGGATCTCTAAAGATCGAGTTGAAATGAAACTTAGTTGGATCTCTAAAGATCGAGTTGAAATGAAACTTAGTTGGATCTCTAAAGATCAAGTTTGAAATGAAACTTAGTTGGATCTCTAAAGATCGATTTGAAATGAAACTTAGTTGGATCTCTAAAGATCGAGTTGAAATGAAACTTAGTTGGATCTCTAAAGATCGAGTTGAAATGAAACTTAGTTGGATCTCTAAAGATCAAGTTTGAATGAAACTTAGTTGGATCTCTAAAGATCGAGTTGA